TTATATAGATATGAATATATAATTACAAATTAGTGTGATGGCGCAAGTGGCACCACCTATATGTAGAATTTTAATTTGCAAAGGTTTAAACTGTGTAACATGCCCCAACTTGTCTGTTTTCTCTGTAAATGTATAGTTGGATTGATTGATTGATTATTTATAGCTGTCAATCAATGTTGTTTGCACCAGTTGAATTGCTTCCTCAGCTCAATTGTTTGGCCCCACCTCTTCCTAGAAGAGGAGGGCAGTGTTTCCTTCTTCATTCTACCATCAAACTTTCTATCAGATAGACGTGTGAAAGAGCCTTGGCTCTAAAGCCCTTAATTAAGTTACCTCTCATCACCAATTCTAAGGTTTTTACCCTTGGGACTCATACTTCATGTCCAGATCGCCCTGGACAACATTGAGGAGACTCAAGCACCTTCAAACCGGTCCTTTGGCATCAAAAGGAAGACTCTGTGCCTTCAACATAGGCCATTGGACTGGGGTTGTGTTTGTTCCAACTTTCGCAGCCATTGAGAAAGAGGGAACAGGAAAAGCTTCTCAGCTGCGAAATCTCCTTGGACCCAAGACAACCAGAGACTGTAACGTATATTTCCTTTACCCCCTTTGAAACTTCCAGCTTATTGCCTTAAAGGGATAACTCTTTGTGAACAATAAAACCTATTTTGAGTTATCCACAGTGTTTTGGTCCTTGGGAGTTCCAGTTTCCTAAAGGAGGGCAAGAAGCAATCCCCTGGGGGAAAGATGTCACGTCTATGCCTCTTTTACTAAGAGTTATAGCCCCCAGGCGCGATGGCATAATTAGTTTCCAGTTTCCAAAATATATAGTTGGTTCCTGGACCTCCTTCTGGATTGTTAGACCCAATAGTTTCTACTGGCTTCTCATTCTCTCTCTCTCATGCACACATACATCATTCATTTTGGGTCTTCCTACAACTTTTTGAATCACTCCAAAAGCATGACAGGAGGTGTGAAAAAGCCTAATATCACTGGGATTGGTATGAGATCTGTTTTGTTTGGTTGCCTATGGTCACAATCTTTCTCCCTCTTTCACTCCTTACTCCTGTAAGAACCAGATACTTCGTCCCATGTCCGATGTTGTAGGAGGAAAGAGAGTCATCGTTTTCTTAGCCCGCTCTAGAAGATATTTGGCACAACCCTGTACAGCGTCTCTCAGTATAAACAGTCACTAATATCTCATCGTCAGCCAGTCTGGGATCCAAGCCAATGAAAATTCAAACAACAATGCAGGGATCTTTCAAGAGTCAGTCAGTAGTCCATTCTAAAGGTCCTCACCAAAACATCCAAGTCTATGAGTAATCCAAAGTTCCAAAGTCAAGGTCCAAACCACAATAAGGCACGCAATATCATCAGATGGAGCTCCAAGCTGTAGCACGTTCCAAACGTTGCTCCCAGCAAAAACCAAATCCAAACTTGAGTTCAGAGTAGAGCAACTGCTTTGGGAGACAAGGATCAGGTATGCGGACAGCGTGGCTGGTCCAGCGGAGCTGATGGCAGAGGACCATCCCTTCAATGCTGGTGGTCTTTGCTTCTTCCAGCATGCTGACATTTCTCCGCCTGTCTTCCCAAGAGATTTGCAGGATTTTCCAGAGGCAGTGCTGATGGAATAGTTCCAGAAGTTGCATGTGACGTCTGTAGACAGTCCACGTCTCGGAGGCGTATAGCAGGGTTGGGAGGATAATAGTAGGGCTGGGTAACCACGGAAAAAATTGTTTCTAAACTCGATTCGTTTTTAAGGGGTCCATCACGTTTCGTTTCTTTAAAGAATTCCGAAATTTTCCTTTTAAAAATTTCGAAATATACGAAATTTTGTAAATTTGAATCGATTCGTTAATGGCGGACGCGATTGCGCAATATGCTAAAAAAACCTCCAAATATGCTAAAAATATGCTGAAAAAACCTCCAAATGGGACAGGGGGAACTTCTGAAGCTTCCCTCTCCCTCTGTTGTTGACTGTTGGTGTGATAAAACAAACAACAACTATAAAACTTGCACCAGGCATGCGAAAATAATTACGAAAAAATTACGAAACAATTTCGAAACAATTTAAATAATAACAAAATAATTACGAAATAAATTGAAAAAATTGTTTCGAATCTAATTTACTCCTCACACTATTCCTGCATGGCTCAATATCGGATCGTAAGCTAATTTAAATACGAATTAATAACGAATTACGAAATTAACGAACGAAACCGCCCAGCCCTAGATAATAGCTTTATAAACAAGCACCTTGGTATCCCTATGGATGTCCCGGTCCTCAAACACTCTCTGCTTCATTCGGAAAAATACTGCACTTGCAGAGCTCAGGCAGATAAAATAATAAATATTATAAATATAATAATAACAGGGTAAAATAATAAATAACGTTGACTCGAGTATAATTCAAGGGGGGCTTTTTCAACCTATAAAAAGGGCTGAAAAACTCAGCTTATACTTGAATATATATGGTAATTGTGTCATAAGTCCCCAGCGAATGGGTCCAGTGCCTCTGACGCTGCTGTCCATTGAGTCCAAAAGCTGAATATTGTCCATGATGACAGGATTAAGTGGTCTGTTCCTGGGAAAGGGGAAATGTCATTTTGGATGACGGGGTAAGACCTCCTGGCTTCCTGGAGGAGTGCTGGATGATGAATAGTGTTATTGTCCAAGTGACTACAACAAAGGATGGGTGGTCCTGTGAATGGATCCTGTCATTCTTTGCACAGTCAGTGTAATGGAACCAATAGAGAGGGATTGTCTCTGGAGATGATGGGTGCTTGAGTCCTTTGCGTTGGGATGATGCCCAGGAAATAGCTGTGGAGAGTTCCTACATCATGAGGTTCTGGCAAAAGGTCACCAAGGGCGTGATCAGTGGCTTCGTTCTCCATCAAGGCATAAAATCTATATAAATAAAAATGTAATGTTAGTTTGTGGGATTAACATAACTCAAAAACCACTGGCCGAAATGACACCAAATTTGGGCACAATTCACCTATCAGGCCAATGAGTGACCATCACTCATAAAAACACTGAAAAACACAGCAGAAGAGACTTAAAAAACCAAAAACGCCACAAATATTACATTACAACGCATGCGCAAAACCACACACACACACATATGCAAACACACATATATACACATAGACACATATATAAATATATACACATATATCCACACACAAAACACATATACACAGACTGGGCCACAGCAACACATGGCAGGGGACGGCTAGTCTATATAAATAAAAATGTAATGTTCGTTTGTGGGATTAACATAACTCAAAAACCACTGGACTAATTGACACCAAATTTGGAAACAATACACCTATCGGGCCGATGAGTGATCATCACTCATAAAAACACTGAAAAACACAGTGGAAGGGACTTAAAAACCAAAAAAAGCAAAAAGATGCTATAGCGCATGTGCAAACAGAACACACAATAGTATATCCACACTCTCTTCCGGACTACAGCTCCCAGCATCCCCTAGACCAGACCCTTTAGGAGAAGAGGATGGTCCAGGCCTTAGTCACCTCCAGATTGGATTACTGTAATGCAGTCTACGTGGGGCTACCCTTGAATACGGCTCGGAAATTCCAACTGGTTCAACGAGTGGTGGCCAGATTGCTAACTGGAGCTCCTTACAGGGACCGGTCAACCCTCCTGTTTCAGGAGCTCCATTGGCTGCCGTTCATTTACCGGGCCCAATTCAAGGTGCAGTTGATTACCTACAAAGCCCTAAACGGTTTGGGACCCGCCTACCTGCGTGACCGCATCTCTGTGTACAAACCCACACAATCTCGATCATCTAGAGAGGCCCTGCTCACGCTCCCACCACCATCGCAAGCGCGATTGGTGGGGACGAGGGAGAGGGCCTTCTCGGTGGTGGCCCCTCGACTCTGGATCTCACTCCCCAGGGACATTAGGCAAGCCCCCACTCTGGTAGTCTTTAGGAGGAGCCTGAAAACGTGGCTGTTTCAGTGTGCCTTCCCAGAATAAGGAAACTCCTTGCAAGCACTTTAATAATGATTTAAGATTGTCTGCACATTTCTTCCCTCTCCAAAACCTCTATCCCAATTACATGTTACCTGCAGCACTGCTGGTCACAGCTGACCTCCAGCTGGAGTTCTCAAGGGCCAGGGATTCCCAGTTCTCAGTGTCTGTGCCAGAGTTTTTATGGTTGGCTTTGAGCCCATCTTTAAATCTCATTTTTTAAAAAAAAAAATTAAATCAGCAATATTTTTTAAAAAAATTAATTATTACATTTGGCCCAGCCATAGGTTTTTAAATACGTCATGTTATTGTTTGGTTTTTTTTGTTTATTTTGCTTATGAGTTTATGTATTGTTTTGTATTATTGCTGTTATTGTTTATTGTTGTGTTGTGGGCTCGGCCTCATGTAAGCCGCACGGAGTCCCTCGGGAGATGGTAGCGGGGTACAAATAAAGTATTATTATTATTATTATTATTATTATTATTATTATTATTATCCAAATGCACTGATTCCAAGTGCAAGCTTTCTTCTCCTTGGATTTCTTTGAGAGCATCCCAATCCCTGCATATTTCCTATTTCCTATTCCTGGACTGCAACTCCCAGCAATCCTCCAGATAGATAGATTAGATAGGTAGTTAGAGAAATCGATCAGGATGACTTCTGGGAGTTGCTGTCCAAGAATAAATAGAGAAGGAAGAAAGGGGAAAAGAAGAAAGGAAAGGAAAGGGGGGAAGGAAGGGAAGAGGAAGAGAAGGAAAAAAGGAGAGAAAGAGTAAGATTGGTCACGGCAACGCGTGTTGGGTACAGCTAGTATAACATATATCTATCGGTTCTCTGAATATACCTATTGAGATGCATTGACATAACTAAGCAAGGAATGTCTTAATTTATTGTCTTTCAATAACTTCACAGATCAGGAGAAGCCATTGTGTGTTTTATATGCTGGATTTAGCTACTGTTTCTTGGGATACAAAAAGCGTTTATGTGTTTCCCTCTTTCAGGTGCCAACTGGAAAGATGCCAGAAGCGCAAAGGCTGGGCGCTCATGATCGCAACTGCAGCAATTGTAGTAAGTATGTTTTACTAACTGTTTACCTTGGGATGTGTTTAACGCAGGCACATAGGAAAGAATAGATCTTTCAACATCCCTCTGTGTATTGCACCCACAGAATCCTTCCTGTGGCTACTGACATTCCCAAAGCAAAAGGGAATACAGTAAAACAAAGCAAAATAAAACCAAACAAAATAATGCAATGCACAATCAATCACAATGAGTGGACCACATGTACAACATAAAATGATAAAACTCTGGATGAGAAAATGAAAAAGAAATGTTTGAAAGGGATAAACTCACAGGAGACGGAGTAGAGAGGGCAGGTTTTCATACAGGTGGAGGGAAATACAGTAAGAGGACAGCATTGTGGGAGGAACGACAAAAGGGGTACATGGTCATTCTCCAAAAGAGGTACGTGATTTGATCAATAGCAGCTGAAATGGTTTCCAAACGGTGACCCTTCTCTGGACACCTTCCAGCTTGTCCCTGTCCTTCTTGCATTGTGTTGTCCAGAACTAGACACAGAGTTATTCTTCCAGGTGAGGTCTGAAAAGCAGAAGAGAGAGGGACTATGACTTCCCATGATCCAGACTCTTTACTCACCCAAGAACCGCATGGTATAAGCAAAATTCAGCTTTGGATAGCCCAAGTAATTCTCTGTTTGTCCTTCTTGCCTACTTTTCAGCCTCCAGAAAGAAAGCGAGGGCCCACCTGGCTGGTAAGTTTTAGTACATGTGGGACGATAAGAGGGATAATCTATTTACTCAAATAAAATGCTCACTTTTTTAGCTCAATGACCTCACCAAAATTATGGTGCGCATTAGATTCGCATCATATGGCCATCTTAGTGCTAAGCCAAAGCAAAAGGGGAAGCTGCTTCAGGAGCTGGACCTGGAGCTCCTATTTGAGCGACCTTACCTCTAATTTAATTGCCATGACTCGATATTGTGCAATCCTGGGATTTATAATTTGATGAAGCACCAGCATTCTTAGGCAGAGAAAGCTCAAGACCTTGTAATTCCATAGCATTCAACCAAGGCGATTAACATGGATTCATTCTACAGCATAAATGCAGTAGAAGGAGTGCTTTTGAGACTATTGAGTGCCTTCGTGAGCTGCCCTGAGTTTTGTAGATCAGCCTGAGGCTGATGGGTTCACTGATCCTGCACAGTCTGGCTTTAGGCCGGGACATGGTACCGAGACAGCCTTGGTCACCTTAGTCAATGATCTTCGACAGGAGCTAGGCAGGGGGAGTGTGTTCCTGTTGGTTCTGCTGGACCTCTCAGCGGCCTTCGATACCGTCGACCATGGTATCCTTCTGGGACTCCTCGTGGGAATGGGCCTTGGTGGCACGGTTTTGCAGTGGCTTGGGTCCTTCCCAGAAGATCGCACTCAGAAGATGTTGTTGGGGGACAACTGCTCGACCTCACAACCATTGTCTTGTGGGGTCCCGCAGGGCTCTATACTGTCTCCCATGTTGTTTAACATCTACATGAAGCCGCTGGGGGAGATCATCCGGAGTTTCGGGGTGCGGTGTCATCTGTATGCAGATGATGTCCAACTCTTTCACTGCTTTCCACCTACTACTAAGGAGGCTGTTCAGGTCCTGAACTGGTGCTTGGCCGCTTTGCCGGACTGGATGAGGGCTAACAAATTGAGATTGAATCCAGACAAGACAGAGGTACTCCTGGTCAGAGCAGAAAATAGCCATCTAACCTAAAGGTTAGTTCAGGCAACATAGTGATGAAGTGAGAAGCTAGGCCTGTGTTCTCTGATTCTTGTTTCAAGTCAAGCCTTTGGTTTTGGGTTCAATTATTCTGGAAGTTTCAATGTTACTGTTTTTGTATTCACATTCATGTTTACCTTTTGCTTGTGGACTTAAACTGACTACCCATGAAAGATTACTACTACCACATCAGCTCTAAATTATTAAATATGGCTTTCTGTGGGTGAGCATATGGTGACTACTGGATGGCACATGTTCTGTATCAGAAACTAGAGCTGATTTGGTCTATCCAATGCAATTTTCTGAATCAGCACCCCCAAATAACCAAACCGAATCTAAAGTTGACCAAAAACTGATTCGTAAACATTTTTGTAGTAATATTGGAGAGTGATCCCTGGTCAAAGTGGCCCCTGGTCAAGTGATTCCTGGTAAAAAAAAAGGTTGGGAAGCACTGATCTAGCAAGAGCATACTTGTTCCGTCCCCCAGGAGCCTGATTTGCATTACCTTATACTTGCTTGAAGTATAAGGTGCTTGCATTTTTCCCAGGAATGCTGCAGCTTTGCTGAGCCCTAAAAGTTAAACAGTATCAGAGTCTGCAAAGCCGGTCTGCAGGCCTCCTTTGCAGCTATTGGTTCAGAAAGGTATCTCTTTGGGTCCAGGGACCGCCTTTTCTCCCAGGGAAGAGATCTCCATTTTGGAATCTCCCCTGCCTTTTTAGTTTAGAGAAGGAGCTTCAGATGTGCTGGTGGTTAGTCAGGGTAGCTCTGGGAAAATCATTGTGAGTACGATTGAGATCAAGATATTAAGATATTGAAGACTGAGATCAAGATATTAAGATATTGAAGATTGAGATTGAGATATAGAAAATCTTATTAAGATATAAAGATATTGAATATTGAGATATCAAGATTATTGAAAATTGAGATATTATAGATAGATATTGAGAAACAGATATAGATTGAGATGGAGCCCCCGGTGGAACAGTGGGTTAAAGCACTGAGCTGCTGAGCTTGTTGATCGAAAGGTCGCAGGTTCGATTCCGGGGAGCAGTGTGAGCTTCCGCTGTCAGCCCTAGCTTCTGCCAACCTAGCAGTTCAAAAACATGCAAATGTGAGTAGATCAATAGGTACCGCTCCAGTGGGAAGGTAACGGCGCTCCATGCAGTCATGCCGGCCACATGACCTTGGAGGTGTCTACAGACAACACTGGCTCTTCGGCTTAGAAATGGAGATGAGCACCGCACCCCAGAGTCAGACATGACTGGACTTAACGTCAGGGGACTACCTTTACCTTTTACTATAGATAAATATTGGGTAAGATTGAGTCATAGATAGATAAATTTAGTATTGAGATAGTGAGCATTACTTCATCTCCAAAGCTAACCTTGAGCTATAGATAGGGGGAAAAACCTGCTTTTTTCTGAACCATAGCAGCATAGGGTTAGGGTGAAAGATTCCAGAATCTTATCTGCCATTTTGGGGAAAGGTTGCCTTAGTAACTCAAGGAAAGGAAAGAAAGATCACCTCTATTGCTTCACCAATTGACTCTTCTGTTTGTAACCTTGATGAACTGTGCCAAGTCTGCAAGGACTTTGAAGAATAAATATTCCTTTTTTGATGTTCAAAAGCCTTTAATAGTCTCAGTTGCTGAATATCTCAAACTTCTAGACACTCGCAGTTCACTCAGACATAGAGAGCAGCACATCTTAGTTTATTTTTATAAAGTCTGGGTGTAACGGCACAATACTAACGACACAACGTTGTTTTCCCTTTCTCCTCAGTGGCTTATGAACAATCCAAGTGCACATCGGGCAGCTTCCCAATCCTTTACTGGAGAAATGACCGATTGGATGAAGGAGACACCATTACATACAGCGATGGTTACTTAACAGTCCCGGAAGAGGGGGATTATTTTGTGTACGCTCAGGTCACTTTCTTCTGTCCTGATGGCAGGTGTGAAGACATGAAGAATTGCATGCCAAATCGGAAAGACAAGACCTCCGTCACCCAGTTCATTTCCAAAATCAGTCCCTACTATGGAAGCATACCCCAATTGCAACTGACTACCAGCACTTCCATCGGTGAGAAAGAAAAGTGGAAGAAAACACTCTACCTGGGAGGTATCCTCGATTTAAGGAAAAACGACAAACTCATGGTTAATGTTAGTAACCCCATGCTTGTGGACATCAGTTCACCTGCAATGACCTTCTTTGGTGCTTTTTTAATCTAGCAATGGATAAGACTTCCTGAAGCTCATTCACACTACAGAAGTCGAGTAGTATGATTCCACTTTAGCTGCCCTGGCTTTAGTTTGTTTGTTTGTTTTTAGTTGGTGAGGCACTAGAACTTTCTATGCTACAAATTCCCAGGATTCCATAGCATGAAACCTCGGCAATTCAAATTATTATTATTATTATTATTATTATTATTATTATTATTATTACTATTTGTCATGGATGTGGCTCACAAATGTAACTTTGAAAAAGGAAACTGAGGGCCTGATTCTGGCAGGCCAAGAAAAAGCCATTCGAACCAATGCCATCAAAGCCAGGATTGAAAAGTCAGCAACAGATCCCAAATGTAGACTCTGCAAGGAAGGAGATGAAACAATAGATCACATCCTCAGCTGCTGCAAGAAGATCGCACAGACTACAAGCAGAGGCATAACACTGTTGCTCAGATGAACTTGTGCCACAAATACCATCTGCCTGCAACAAAGAACTGGTGGGATCACAAGCCGGAAAAAGGTACAGAGAATGAACTACTCTGGGACTTCTGAGTTCAGACTGACAGAGTTTTGGAGCACAATACTCCTGACCTCATGATCAGGAGTGGATTGTCGATGTTGCAATCCTAGGCGACAGCAGGATTGAAGAAAAACAACTGGAAAAGCTGACACAAGATTGAACTTCAAAGACTCTGGCACAAACCAGTAAAGGTGGTCCCAGTGGTGATTGGCACACTGGGTTCAGTGCCTAAAGACCTTGGCCTGCACATAAACACAATCGGCGCTGACAAAATTACCATCTGCCTGCTGCAAATGGCCAACTTACTGGGATCTGCACGCATTATTCACCAATACATCACACAGTCCTAGACACTTGGGAAGGTCCAACATGTGATCCAATAGAACAGCCAGCAGAGTGATCTTGTTTGCTGTGGACTCATATTATTGTGTTAATAATAATAATAATAATAATAATAATAATAATAATAATAATAATGGGAAGTGTTCACCTTGTGATTTTGTGATACGAAATCCAGCATATAGCCCTCATTTGCTGTGATATACTGTGGTTTTGTGTCAGTAAAATAATAATATCCTTTATTTATATTCCACCCTATCTCCCCGAGGGGACTCAGGGCAGATTACAGTATACATATACGACAAACATTCAATGCCCTTATACCATTAACAGGACAGACAATACATAAACAGAGGTAAAGGCTTCCCATCTTTTCCCATCTCCGGTCATCAGGAGGTGCTGTTGCTCCATCTTCCATGCCGAGGAGCTTTGTTGTCCTTAGATTGAATCAACAGCATGTCTGCATAGGCACCTTTTTCTTTCCTCCCCACCAAAGTGATACCTATTTATCTATTCACATTGCTGTTTTCGAACCGCTAGGTGAGCAGAAGCTGGACTAATGGTGGGAGCTCACCCCAACCTGGGCTTGAACTGTCAACCTTTCAATCAGCAAGATTTTCTGCAGTTGGCAGTTTAACCCACTGTGCTAAAGCCCGGCCCTGTGCTGCAGTGCTATAGTTTCATCTGGATGCTCTCACCTGAGAACTGGAAAGTTCATAATTCTGGGCCCTGAAAAACGTTTGGCTAGGCCTATTTCCCTAATGTTCTTCCTCTAACAATTCTCCCCCTTTTTGGAAAGTCCAAATTCGGCAGCCTTTCGTTCAACAGAGCACTGTGGTTATTTCTCCAAACAAAACTTACAAACACTACAAAACAAATCCTTCCAGAAGCATTTGTGGGTTTCTGAGCGGATTATAGTATATGGACAGAACATTCAATGCCTTTTACAGAGGGAACAACAACAACATACAATACACAGACAAAGGTAAAGGCCTTCCCCTTTCATCTCCGGCGTCTGGAGGCAATGCTCAACTCCATCTATGGGGAGGTGCTGTTGTTCCATTTTACTAGCACTACAAAATAAATCCTCCCAGAAGAATTTGTGTGTTTCTGAGTGGATTATAGTATACTGATAGAACATTCAATGCCTTTTACAGAGAGAACAACAACAACGTACAATACACAGACAAAGGTAAAGGCTTTCCCCTTTCATCTCTGGCGTCTGGAGGCCATGCTCAACTCCATCTATGGGGAGGTGATGTTGTTTCATTTTACTAACACTACAAAAAATCCTTCCAGTCTTAGTTATGGAAGCTTGTGTAGGTCCTCTAGTGCCATTCCATGCTATGTTTCAGCCCTAGTATAGTCAAAGTAAAGGATTCGCTATTGTCTCTGGTTTCAGGTATCCACAAGGCGCCTTGGAATGTAATAATAATAGTAATAATAATACACTTTATTTATATTCCAGTGAGTGGATTACAGTATACAGATAGAAGGCAAACATTCAATGCCTTTTACAGAGGGAATAACAACATACAATACACAGAGAAAGGTAAAGGCCTTCCTCTTTCATCTCCGGCGTCTGGAGGCAATGCTCAACTCCATCTATGGGGAGGCGATGTTCCATTTTACTAACACTACAAAAAAATCCTTCCAGAAGCATTTGTGGGTTTCTGTAGGTCCTCTAGTGCCACTCCATGCTATGTTTCCAGCCCTAGTATAGTCAAAGTAAAGGATTCACTATTGTCTCTAGTTTCAGGTATCCACACGGCGACTTGGAATGCAATAATAATAGTAATAATAATAAACTTTATTTATATTCCGCTTTATCTCCCTGGAGGAACTCTGAGCAGATTACAGTATACATATAGAAGGCAAACATTCAATGCCTTTTACAGAGGGAACAACAACATACAATACACAGACAAAGGTAAAGGTCTTCCCTTTTCATCTTCGGCATCTGGAGGCAATGCTCAACTCTGGCCATGGGGAGGTGCTGTTGTTCCATTTTACTAACACTACAAAAAAATCCTTCCAGAAGCATTTGTTGGTTTCTAGTGCCATTCCATGCTATGTTTCCAGCCCTAGTATAGTCAAAGTAAAGGATTCACTATTGTCTCTAGTTTCAGGTATTCACAAGGCGCCTTGAAATGTAATAATAATAGTAATAATAATACACTTTACTTATATTCCATTTTATCTCCCCGGAGGGACTCTGAGCGAATTACAGTATACAGATACCAGGCAAACATTCAGTGCCTTTTACAGAGAGAACAACAACATACAATACACAGACAAAGGTAAAGGCCTTCCTCTTTCATATCCGGCGTCTGGAGGCAATGCTGAACTCCATCTATGGGGAGGTGCTGTTGTTCCATTTTACTAACACTACCAAAAAAAAAATCCTTCCAGAAGCATTTGTGGGTTTCTGTAGGTCCTCTAGTGCCATTCCATGCTAAGTTTCCAGCCCTAGTATAGTCAAAGTAAAAGATTCACTATTGTCTCTAGTTTCAGGTATCCACAAGGCGCCTTAGAATGTAATAATAATAGTAATAATAATACACTTTATTTATATTCCGCTTTATCTCCCTGGAGGAACTCTGAGCGGATTACAGTATACAGATACCAGGCAAACATTCAGTGCCTTTTACAGAGAGAACAACAACATACAATACACAGACAAAGGTAAAGGCCTTCCTCTTTCATCTCCAGCGTCTGGAGGCAATGCTCAACTCTGGCCATGGGGAGGTGTTGTTGTTCCATTTTTCCATACTGAGGAGCCTGTTGTCTGTAGGCATCTCTCATTGTGTTTTGCTGGTATGTCTGCATGGGGCGCCCTTTTACCTTCCCGAAGAGTTGGTACCTATTGATCTACTCGCATTGCATGCTTTCGAACTGCTAGATTGGCAGAAGCTAGTGCTGACAGCAGGAGCTCAGCCCGACTGGCAGCTTCGAACTGCTAATTCTCCAGTTAGCAGATTTCCTGCAGCTAGTGGATACAGATATTATATAGTATTTTATACCAGGGAATTCTCAGTGATCTGCAATTATTCTTCTCAGCTGGATCTTCTAGCTCAATGTTTTGACCTTGGGATTAATAATCGTGAATATTCTTGTGCCTGTTGTGCATCTGTTTGAAGAAACAATCAATTGTAAATCCATATTGATGTGAAATGATCACGCTGTTTGTTATCTGCTTATTTTTTTACGTCATTAAATTATATATCTTTTTGGAAAATATCTAAATGTCAAATAAATAAATTTTATAGCATCTCTTCGGTTATGAGTCTTTCTTTAGAACGTCCCCCACCTTTCCTTAAAAAAGTATCCCAGTGGACTCAAACCAGGAGAAAGTTTGTATGGTCCTTCATTTTAGTTGTCCCAATGTACAGAAGTAGACAACCAAGTCCATGTTTTAGTCTCTGTAGAGCAGCGGTGCCCTATGAAACATTTGGAAGCAGATTTGGAGGGGGAAATCCAGTGTTTTTTGACTCAGCCCTGACTTCTATTCCTGTGTACTTCCCACTGACATCCCACACTTGAATCAAACTGAGATAATGAGGGCTTTTCCACAATCACGTTTGTCGATTTGTCATATCTTTGGTTGTTGGCCTTCTGACCTGGCGAAATCCCAATCCCTTGTGTATAGCCCTAGCAACTGCGACTTCTGCATGACTCATTTGAAAGGAAGCCAAGCATAACTTGATGTTTTATTTTGGCACGTGAACGGCAAAGAGGATTGTTTCGCTGCACATTTAATTTCATGGGACATAATGACAAGTAGAAGGAACCAGTCTTTGGTTCATTTCTATTTCCTAATATGTTATAATGTAATAACAACAACAATAATATACTTTTAATTTTTTTAAAAAAAATAATCTTTATTATGTATTTTCCTTTAAAAAAAGATTTAAAAATTGATAGAAAAAAGAAAAACAAAAAGAAAAAAGAAAAAAAACAAAAAAAGGAGGTGAAGAGAGAATATATATATATATATATATATATATATATATATAGTTCATTTCTGGGATTAACATAAGTCAAAAACCACTGGTGTTCCTGGTGGTGGGTGACTGTGGAGCCCTATTCTTGATCTGCATCTTCTCCCGCAGTGAGGGCATTGGTTTCCAGGTGGAAGGCGGTCCCGGTCGGGGTTGGCTTGATGCGCCTTCCTCTTGGCACGTTTCTCTCTTTCACCCTCAATTCGTGCCTCTTCAAATTCTGCAGCACTGCTGGTCACAGCTGACCTCCAACTGGAGCGCTCAAGGGCCAGGGCTTCCCAGTTCTCAGTGTCTATGCCAGAGTTTAAGGTTGGCTTTGAGCCCATCTTTAAATCTCTTTTCCTGTCCTCCAACATTCCATTTTCCGTTTTTGAGTTCAGAGTAGAGCAACTGCTTTGGGAGATGGTGGTCGGGCATCCGGACAACGTGGCCGGTCCAGCAGAGTTGATGGCGGAGGACCATCACTTCAGTGCTGGTAGTCTTTGCTTCTTCCATCACATTTGTCCGCTTGTCTTCCCAAGAGATTTGCAGGATTTTTCACAAGCAGCGCTGATGGAATCATTCTAGGAGTTGCATGTG